GGGCCCTCGGCGAGGAGCCCTGACACTGAGCTAGGGCAGCCCCTTGGTGGGATTTCCGTCTGCTTCTCCTGAGTCGCGGTGTCCTGGTCTTCGGCAGAGGTTCCCCTTGGGTCCCAGCTGGGGCTTCCAGCACCCTGCACCCTTGCCTGCCTGCATCAGGTCCCTGGCAGGAGGTTCTGGCTCTGCCACCTGCTCTGTGCCCGCGGCCACCAAGGACCATGCGCTTGGTCAGGTGGTTGTGTCGATTGGTTTATTTACTGGAAACGAAAGTAGGCACTTGTCAAGTCACTTAAAAGTAACGGGAACGAACCTGATTCATGCTGGGATAAAAGGTGGCTGCTCTTCTGGTAGAGCCAGGGAGGCCAGGCGTGGTCCCGTTCCGTAGCTCTGCTGTTGGGCGGGCAGGCGGGCGGGCCTGGGCACAGCGGTCTGGCCTTGCAGACCCCACACTGAGGGCCACTGGCTTGTGGGTCTCAGCATCTCTGCATCTTTGCTGTTCTTGAAGGCAGTCGGTCAGCAGCGCACTAGTGGGAGGAGTGGCCGTGACAGGCGGTTTGGGCAGTGGGGGTCTAGCATGGTCACCCTGCTTCTGGCTTCACATCCTGAGCCTGGCAGCTGCCCTGCGCCCTGGCCTGTGGGGGGGCCCCAGTGAGTCTGCGAGGCCGTGTGGTGACAGGGTGGGTGGGGCCCAGCATGGCGGGGGCATCTGTGACACCCGTGTCCACCTTGGTCCAGAGTGAGGTGTAGCTGCCTCATACCGGAAGGAGCTGTTTTTCGTACTTCTGAGCTGTCCCGTGTAGGGAGGTCCTGCTGCATTGTTGTGTTCACCCTTTCTGCCTCGGCACTCTCTAGCCTGGTCACCTGTAGCAGGGAGGTGATGCCCTGGGGGACGTCCCTGTCGGGGTTTGGGGCAGCTGGGCTGCAGCCTGAGGCAGAGAAGAAACATGGGGCACCTCCAGGCTTGGAGTGTCCCAGTGCCACACAGTGTCGACCCTGCAGGGCTGCAGGGACCCGCCCTTCCCCCCCAGGCTGTCTCTGCGCCCTGCCCCCTGCGCTAGTGCCGGTCACCACTGGCCTGTGTCCTTGTGGCGTCAGTAGCTGTCGCAAACACCGGGCTGTCTTTCACTTTTCCTACGGGTTTTTCACTTACATTTGATGGGGGTCCAGTGACTGGATGTTGCGTGCGCTCATCCCCGGGTCCGCAGTGTCGGGTGGTAGGGCCAGCAGGGCAGTGGGTGTCCTGGGGCCAACGTTGGGGAGGCTGAGCTGCCCCGTCTGTCGTTTGCAGGTGTCCGACCTCCGATCATGAACGGGCCCCTGCACCCCCGGCCCCTGGTGGCACTGCTGGATGGCCGGGACTGCACGGTGGAGATGCCCATCCTGAAGGACGTGGCCACAGTGGCCTTCTGTGATGCGCAGTCCACGCAGGAGATCCACGAGAAGGTAACAGCACAGCGGTGCTTGGGTGGGGGAAGGCGGGTGGGATCGGAGCTGCCAACCAGGCAGGACCTGGCAGGTTCAGTGGACAACAGGGCACCCGGCGCTGTCCAGAATGGAGACAGGATTTACTCTGCGGCTTCTTGAGTCACCTCCATTACCACCAGTTTTCCCCAGAAAGTGGAGCCTGGGGAAGTGGCCGCAGCATCCAGGTCCCCAGCAGCCTGCAGGTGGGTGGTGGCAGCTGGTGGCAGCTGTCAGCACTGTGTCTGCTCGGGGTCATGGGGTCCCCACGATGGGAAGTGCATTAACCTGGTTTTCTGTTTGTAGTCTCGGCCGCCTAAGTCCTTCAGAGCAGCCTTTCCACTGAGACAGGGGAGGGGAGCCGGACAGTTTAGAAACCCGGCAGCCTTCAAGAGCCAGTGGGTCTGGAGAGGCCCGAGCCTGCACGGGGCAGCCTGCCGTGTGGGAAGAGGCGGCTGAGGGCTGAGGCGGCTTTGGCACCCTTGCCGAGATGGGGCCATGCCGACTGCCCCTGGTCTGGGTGAGACCCTGGAGAAGCACGAACTGGAACCCAGCACTCACTGAGCCTTGAACTTGGGTTGTCGGCCACGCTGTGCCACCTGTCCCAGCAAATGGTGCCATCCTCTCAGGAGGGACGCTGTTGGCCCAGGCCTCGTCATTTCTGTGAGTCGTTTGTAGTGCTGTGTCTGTCCATAATCAAGGGTAACCAGGCATGGAGGAGACAGAAGCTGAGCAAAAACCTGGGCCCTCAGGACAGCCACGGCCAAAGGAGAGCGAAGTGTGACGTTTGACAAGGAACTGATGACTGAAGGGGCACCGCAGACACGGGCAAACACTTTAGAAGATCGAGACCTCGAAAGAGCAAAGCTGAAAGTGAGAATTCAGTGGGTAGGATGGAGACAGGACGGGGGACCTGAGGGGCCGTGGTGTGGAGTCCACATGCTTCTCACAGAGTCTTGGAACTGCGGGGGTGTAGGGGGTGGCCAGAAGCAACGACCGCCCAGGTGCCGGCTGACAGTTCCCAGAGCTGACGGACACGATGCAGGTGGGAGGACAGTGCCGCGTGGACAGAACCTCCCACTGCGGTCCTGGAGGACACCTGTGGTTCCTGCAAGGCTGGGCACGTGCCTGTCTCGCCCACACAGTCACAAGTTTGGTGTTTATCCCAGAGAAACGCACTCACGTCCACAGAAGAGCCTGCGTGTGGAGCTTCTCAGCAGCCTCGCTCCTGGTGTCTGGGCCCAGAGAGACTCGGACGCCGTCCCCCGTGTGGGGGACACAGTAAAGGGAACCAGCTGCTGATCAGTCCACTGCTGACCGGGTGCGTGGCCTGAGGCCACGGTGCTGGGGGCAGGGTGATGTCTAAGGGTCGTGTGGGTGGATGCCGGTCACTCTCTGGTGACAAGATTATGGTGGTGGGGACTCGCGTGACTGAGGATCTGACAGCAGTGTCTGTGCTGCTGGCAGCCCTGCCCTGCGTCCGTGGTGGCTGCTTGAGGGACAGGTGGTAAAATCACACGGAGCTGGGCGCCTGCGCATGTGCGGCACAGAAACTGGGGCAGTGGGTGAGGTGCAGTGTCCTGGTCGTGTGCGAGGTTGTCCCCGAGGGAGCTGGCAAGGGGACATGGGAACCTTCTACAATTTTGGCAATTTCTTGTGAACCTTAAACTATATCAAACTAAGAAATCTCTTTAAAAAGTTAGTATATGGAACAGAAAAGAGTCCTGCAGGTAGAAATTTTTAAAGATCGTAGGGAGTATTAAAACAGGTTTTCCTGATAAATTTGACTACAAAACAGGTGGATTCTTCTAAAATCGTAATTTAGCAAAACCACCTCAGGGAGCTACCACGTGAGCGCGTGAACAGCCACCAGGGAGGGCAGGGACAGGGCCCTCAGCATGACAGCCTGCTGCCCCGCCCCCGGCAGAGGACAGATGGCACCCCTCTGCCCTCGACCACCCGGCCTCCCTGAAGCACAGCTGCCGGCCGGTGTGCTGGGACTGCTGAGCAGTGTCCTCAGACCTGAAGACTCCTGCCTGGGCAGCAAGCACTGCTCAGCGAGACATGGACCAGCCTGCGCCAGGACGAGCTTAGCAATTAAAAATGTGTGGAAACTACGTTTAGTGGGAAAGTTGGAAGACACAGTCCAGAGAACCCCAGAAGAAAAATGGAAAGGAAGGAGGGGCCCGCAGACCCCTGAGCTCTGTGCCCCAAGTCCCCTCAGGTGTGTCCCCTTCCCAGTGGACACACGGTCCTGGGCAAGCACTTCCTTCCCCAAGCTTTGCCCCCAGGGGTGGCCGAGTGACCAAGTCCAGCCAGGGAGAGGAGAGCGGACTTCGTGTGCAAAGCTCCTTCCCTCCTTCTGGAAACCAGACGTGATGGCTGGATCCTCGGCAGCCACCTGGAACAGGAGGGAGCCATGCATTGGGGCTGGCACGGGACAAGTCAGAAACCCAGGACCCTGGTGGCTGTGGAGCTGATGGCTCCCTGGGCCCCGTCTGCAGGCTTTGGCGTGGGAGGGAAACAGCCTGCCTCATGTGCCACTGGCTCGGGGATTCCGTCTCGTCACAGCCGGCTGGGAGCCGACATCATCTCAGTGCTTTGGAAGGAGAGACTGCAGTCATCCCCACAATACGGTGAAGGAAACCTCAGAGCTAACGGAGACTCCAGCTTCCCTGCCACCAACCTGGGACACTCCACCGTGGCACGTTCAGGTTTACCAGTGCCGGTGGGTGTTGCCTACGGAGACAAGAGCCAGCCCAGCCCACGGTGGGTGTGCAGAGCTTTGGGAGAGTGGTTTCCAGCCAGGGCTGCACCAGATGGGCTGCAGGTGCTGCGGCAGAGGCAGGTTTCCTTCGCTCTGGGGAAGGTCCTTAGAGACGCCCCCTGTGGACTGAGAGGCGACCCTGGGAAAGGAGAACCAGGACACCGTGCTTCCACCAGGGGCCGGCAGGGGGCGCCGTCCCCCCTCCGGGAGAGCCCGCCGGCCTGGAGCCGGCCCGCGCCCAGGGGCCTTTTGCCTGCGCGGGCGGGGCGATCAGTGGTGAAGAGTCCAGTCCCGGGAGCAAGGTGCTGGGTGGTGTCTGAAATGAGATAAAAATCTAGGGGAAACGCAGACGTGGGCTTTGTAGTGGGTGGTGGGGCGGCTGCTGGGCAGGCGGCCTCCGTGCTGAGTGGACAGGACAGGAGCCGGAAACAGCCCCCTTCCTGGGGGGCCCAGGGACATGGGAAATGGCTTTCAGTCTGTGGACAAAGGACTGGTGAGCCCTGGAGTCACGCCCGAGGGGTCCCATGCCCATGGGGTGCGAGCGGGACAGCACTGGTACGCTCTGCAGGAGGCGCAGGCGGGAGAGGTGGTTTGATTGGGTGGCAGGGCGATAGGACCTGCAGAGGAGCTGCCTTGAGATGGTGGAGACGGAGGGCCTGCAGGGCGGAGGGCTGACGCTAACAGTCGGATGATGCCCAGGTCCACGGGAAGGACAGACCGGCAGAAAATGGGCAGGAGGCACACACAGCATCTGCGAGAAGCAGGTGACGCCCACCCCAGGCACTCAGGGACCCTATGCTGGGGAACACAAGGGGCCGTGGCCCGAGGCAGCTGGGCACTTGGAAGTGGACACACACCATGGTTTTGACGGCACTTCCTGGGCCGGCTGACAGCCCCCCCAACCTCAGGGACAGACTGTCCTGGGGCTCCCTCCAGACTTCCCCCTGGGAGGTTGATGTGATACCCAGGGGTGTTGCGGCCACTTTGCAACCACAAAAGGGAATATGGGAGCCTGCAAGGAGAGTGGACCTGGAGGCCAGACGGTGTGGCTGTGGTGGCCCTGGCCCAGGAATCTCTGGACAGAACTGACACTGCAGTGGGCTCTCATCTGCATCTGAGCGTGGCCTCCCTGCTACAGGGTGTGGGGGCAGGGGAGTGGCTTTGAGCAGTGTCTCAATCCTAATTCTTTTTTTTTTTTTTTTTTAATACGTCTTTATTGATTTCAGAGAGAGGAAGAGAGAGGGAGAGAGAGAGAGAAACATCAATGATGACAGAGTCATTGATCGACTGCCTCCCGCATGCCCCTGACTGGGGATCGAGCCCGCAACCTGGGCATGTGCCCTGACCGGGACTTGAACCCCGATTGCCTGGATCCTAGGTTGATGCTCAACCGCTGAGCCACGCCCGGCTGGCCCAATCCTAATTCTGAGCACTTCACTGGTACAGATATGCTAGAGAAACGACTAGGACAGGAAAAAAGAATTTCCCAAGAAACGTGGGCGAGTCACATTCAGAAATGCAAATTAAAGCTAAAACCATAGACACCAGTTTACCATCCATCCCATTCCCCATTTTATTTTACTTTTACTTATCTATTTATAAATGTCTTTATTGATTTCAGAGAGAGGAAGGGAGAAGGAGAGAGAGAGAGAAACATCAATGATGACAGAGTCATTGATCGACTGCCTCCCGCATGCCCCCGACTGGGGATCGAGCCCGCAACCTGGGCATGTGCCCTGACCGGGACTTGAACCCCGATTGCCTGGATCCTAGGTTGATGCTCAACCGCTGAGCCACGCCCGGCTGGCCCAATCCTAATTCTGAGCACTTCACTGGTACAGATATGCTAGAGAAACGACTAGGACAGGAAAAAAGAATTTCCCAAGAAACGTGGGCGAGTCACATTCAGAAATGCAAATTAAAGCTAAAACCATAGACACCAGTTTACCATCCATCCCNGACCCGGGCGTGTGCCCTGACCGGGAATCGAACCGTGATCTCTCGGATCCTAGGTCGATGCTCAGCCGCTGAGCCACGCCAGCCAGGCTCACACTCACCATTTTAAACAGTGCCCAGCACTTCATGGTAGGTGCCTGGGGTCAGTCCCCTGGTGTGGCTGCAGCCCACCCTCTAGTTTGCGTTTCTAAGGATGGATGTCAAGGAAATGAGCACAGACTGGAGGCAGCTGAGCACCCGACAGTGGGAGCCTGTCGACCCCCTGGACTGTCCTTGCTGGGATGGGGCACGGGTGATCTGCACAGGCTGGAGGCTTTACTGCCACAGTAAGTGCTTGGGATTAAAACGAGATGCCGCCCGCGCACAAGCTGTGCTTCCAGGGCCTGTCGGTCTGGCCGCCTCCACGTGCTCATCCCAGCGAGGGGCCCACGTGTGTCCCACCCAGGCCAGCACCGACCTCTCTGGTGCTGTTCCCTCCATGACCCGTCTCTGAGGCCGGGGCTGCTGCTCCTCAGGCGTGATCGATGTGTCCACCTCTCCGGCTGTACCTGCCCACAGTGGACACCCACAGATCTGCCCAGTTGACTCGCCCCCAGGGCCCTTCCTCACCAGCTCTGTGGCTACCCCACCAGTCTTTACAGCACAGGAGTCCAGAGCGGTCTTCCTGGGGTCCCACCGGCCCAGCCCTCCCCCATCCCCTGCACCCCGTGGCCCTCGCCATGCCCACTGCCTAAGCCATGTCCACTTTCTGTCCACCTCCCCACACCCTCCTGTTTAGGTCCCTCTGCCCCTCATGGGCACTGGCAGCTACTCTGCGGTCACACAGTGCTCCTCCCCCTCCTACACCCAGTCCAGTCCTGGCACCAGAGGTCTGTGCCCGGCCGCCTAATGCCTCCCCCCGGCCACACAGCTACCCAGCAGCTGCCCTGCCTCCAGGAGTGGGTCCCGGGTCCTCAGCGCAGGAGTGGAGGCAGGGCCACTCCCTCCATCTCAGAGTCCAGGCCAGCCGGCGCCTGCAGGTCCTGGGCCCAGGCCCCTGCCCGGCCACCCAGCCATCTCCGTCTGGCCCCGTCAGAGTGGCGCCCAGGGCGGCGTCCTCTAGGCCACCGCGGGGAAAATGATTCTGGCTGGCCGTATGTCCAGCCGCAGCGGAGGCTGTTGCTCTGGGGGGAGGAGGCAGGCAGGTGGCAGCACTGCATCCAACACCTGGGAACCGCCGCGTGCTCACTAACGGGCCCAAGGTCTGGGCCTCTCTGGCTGGGACAGGCTTCTCCCTGCTTTTTCCTCACACGTGGTGCCTGGGCATCGTCGGGCTGTGCGCAGTGGGTCTCGGCCTCCCTGTGCTGGGCACCGAGGGTCAGCACAGCCCATGGCTGGCCTCCCTTCCCATCCAGGAGACCCAGGGTCAGCACCGGAGGCTCTGGGGAGGGGCAGACAGCAGCCACGGTCCATCGGCCCCGCGCTCAGCGGCGGGTGTCCTCAGTTACACGGCCACTGCCGTGTTCTTCAGGGAAGGACAAGCCCGTCCCCCAGTGACGATGCCCCTGGATGGCACCGTGCCTCCCGCCCTCCC